ACCAGTCCTTGGTCCTTTGCTGCCACCCTTTCCCAAGGGGTCTGGTCTTTTCCAGCTGGTTTCTTTGCCCCAACAGCTTTAATCCTGGGGGGAGGAGGGGGCACAGGAGGTTGTCACCCCCCCCAGGGGACACAAACCTGGAAGCTGTTGCTTTTCATCTTGTGTAGCCCCCCAGGTGCTGGGGGGGGGGGTTCTGGGGCACCCTGGGCCACCCAGCTCCCACTGCTGCCTGGGCCACCACTCCAGGAAGGATCCCCCAGGGTGGGCTTCCTAAGGGTGGATTTCTGCAGAAATGGGGATTTTCCTCCTCCCTTGGCTGCTGCTCCATCCATCCAGTCCCGTGGGGCTCCAGGAGCAGAGGAAGGTGCAGCTGGTCCTGCCCAGGCAGGAGAACCTGGGGTGGGCACCACCTCCCTGCTTCCTAAAATTCCCCAGAGCCCAGCAGGGGCCCATGGTGGTTATTGCTGGTGGTGTTTTCCCTGCATACAAGGATGGGGCCTTTCCCAGCTCCCCCCTGGGAGGTTCCCACCTTTCCATGGGTAGAGGTGGAAGTGGTGGTTGAAGTGAGGGAAAAACTTCAAACCTTCATTTTTCCAACAGAAGCAGGAGAGAATAAAAAGGAAACACAGCCCAGAACCTCCCTGGGTCTCTGCAAGCTCCCAAACCTGACAGTTGGGAACACCAATGGAGTCAAACCCTTCCCCACCTGGATATTCCCAAGGGGAACATCTCCCAAATGAGCTTTTTTGGAGGGTCTTCCCCATCCCTGCACCACCAAGACCTCTCACTCCAAACACCACATCCCTTCCCTGTGGAAAGGGCAGGACTCAAGCAGCCCCAGGAGGGAGAAATGTCCAGATTTCATCCCAACCCAACCAGGATTGCTCCGTGTTCCTCCCCCACTGCAGCTCTGCCGAGTTCCCTTCCAAGTCAAAGTCTGCAAGGAACAAGTTTTCCTGGTGAAAATCAAAGGGGGAATCAAACTGTTCCTCCAGCCCCTCAGGAGAACAAGAGTCACCACAAGGTTTTTCCACTCAAGAAGCCAGAAGATTCAAAGTCAAGGTTTAAAATTAAAAAATGAAAATTATATATATATATATATATAAAAAATAATCATTCTGCTCCCTCTCTTCCCCTGCTCTCCTCCATGTTGGGATTTGGCAACAGGGTCAGCACGTGGCCTGGATTTTCCCCTCAAGGAGATGGTGATTTTAAGAGCAAACTCTGCCATTCAGAGCATGTAGTGACAAATGCAAGTTCTCAGCAAGGGACCCAGGGCCTCTCTGTGCAGGGAGGCAGGATCCAGCTCCCAGCCCAAGGCCAGGAACTGAATCCAGCTGTGGTAAAAATACATGGGTAACCCAGAGCAGTTTCCCCACCTCCCCCCACCCCCAAGAAGCTGACAAGATGCCTGTGGAGACACAGGTTCCTGGCAGCACAGAAACATCAGCTGCACGACTGATGCATCCAGAACAAAGCTACATGGATCAGATTTTTATGGCTCGTATCCC